AGCTAATAATGACAAATTATAGTTTGTCATATTTTGACATATTTTGTCATAGTTTGACAAATTATATTTGTCATTATTAGCTCCTGATATATATATATATACATACATAATATGTACATTGCCTGGCAAGACTGGTGAACTAGCATGCAATCTAAATGTACGATAAAAAAATCCCCATATTTCTATTTCTATGCGCCATTCACAAAAACCCTCTGCGATTTCTCAAGAATCCACGTAACCACGCTTGTGCCTTGGCTATATCCTATATACTGTAACATACGGCTATTACACTGTGTGAACGTACACATATGAACTCTATACGGAGGAAGAAAGAGGCACTGGGTGCGAGGTTCTATAGCTACAGTGACGTAAGAGTGTGAGATGTGGATGTTGGTTAGGAGTAGCTAGGAGACTATCGCCAATGCAGTTGCCATAGAAACAAAATGACAGCGAGTTCGCGCCGTTCCCCATGCGGTTGCCATGGAAGCAAGATGGCGACGAGTTCGCGCGTTCCTTGTGCAGTTGCCATGGAAACGAGATAGTGTCGATGTTGCGCGTTCCTCGTGGGGTTGCCATGAAAACGAGATAATGTCGATGTTGCGCGTTCCTCGTGGGGTTGCCATGGAAACAAGAAGTATACGAGCATGCAGTGACGTGCATACAGGAGGCATATAACAGTAAGCGTCCGCGATTGTTCACCGTTGCNATGGTTTGCATGGCGGACAAGATGGCGGACAAGATGGCGGCGACCAGCCTACCTACCCTTACACAGCGTCTCGTAGATAGACGTATCGTTCTGCAGCTCCGGTCGCGCTCCTGGATGAGCTGCAGGAAGGAAGGAGGAGAGTAAGGGCGGGAAAGAGAGAAGGGAAAAGAGGAAGGAGGGAAAGAAATGAAGAAAGGGAGGAAGGGAGGAATGAGGAGAGTAAGGGCGAGGGAGAGAGAAGGGAAGAGAGGAATGGGGGAAGGAAATGAAGAAAGGGAGGAAGGGAGGAATGAGGAGAGTAAGAGCGGGGAAGAGAGAAGGGGAAAGAGGAAGGAAGAAACGACGAGAGTAGGGTGAGAAAGATAGTATGGAAGGGAAGAAGAAATATCAATAAAGGCAAGAATATATACACGCAAATCAGTACTTATTGTGAGGATATATACACGCAAATCAGTACTTATTGTGAGGATATATACACGTAAAGCAATACTTATTGTGAGGATATATACACGCAAATCAGTACTTATTGTGAGGATATATACACGCAAATCAGTACTTATTGTGAGGATATATACACGTAAAGCAATACTTATTGTGAGGATATATACACGTAAATCAGACTTAAGGTGAGGATATACACACGTAGAGCAATACTTAAGGCAAGGATATACACACGTAAAGCAAGAGCATATACACACGTAAATCAATACTTAAGGTGAGGATATAGACACGTAAAGCAATACTTAAGGTAAGCATATACACACGTAAAGCAATACTTAAGGTGAGGATATAGACACGTAAAGCAATACTTAAGGTGAGCATATACACACGTAAAGCAATACTTAAGGTGAGCATATACACACGTAAAGCAGTACTTAAGGTAAGGGTATAGACACGTAAAGCAATACTTAATGTGTGGATATACACACGTAATGCAATACTTAAGGTGAGGATATAGACACGTAAAGCAATACTTAAGGTGAGGATATATACACGTAAAGCAATACTTAAGGTGAGCATATACACACGTAAAGCAATACTTAAGGTGAGGATATATACACGAAAAGCAACACTTAAGGTGAGCATATACACACGTAAAGCAATACTTAAGGTGAGCATATACACACGTAAATCAATACTTAAGGTGAGGATATATACACGTAAAGCAATACTTAAGGTGAGGAAATATACACGTAAAGCAATACTTAAGGTGAGGATATATACACGTAAAGCAATACTTAAGATGAGGATATATACACGAAAAGCAGTACTTAAGGTGAGGATATACACCTTTAAGGTAATAATTAGGGTTGGGAATTTGTACGTGTAAGGTATTAATAAGATAGGAATATACAGCGGCCTGTAACGTATTAATTAAGCTAGGGAATGCGTACCTGCAGGATATTATCGAATTGGGGATATACATCTGGTATCAAGGTATTAATTAAAGTAGGGAATTCGCACCTGAGGAAACAGGTGCCCCCGCACCGGGCTTTCCGTAAGGGTTGTAAGAGAGGGTCTCCATCTCCTGTTTAACCTTCTCTTCCTTCTCGCTGCTAATCGCCTGAGAGGAAGAGAGAAGGTTTCCAATGTAAAGATGGTGAGTGATGAGGTGAGTGACGAGGAGAGTAATTAATGATAAAGGACATAGGAATAAGAAGACGATAACGAGTCGAAGAGTTAGCTAGAGAGTGAGAGAGTGCGTGAGAGCGAAAGAAAAAGAGAGAGAGAGACGGAGAGAGAGAGAGACGGAAAGAGAGAGAGAGAGACGGAAAGAGAGAGAGAGACGGAGAGAGAGAGAGAGTGAAAGAGAGAG